TCAATGCTCAAATCAATGAACATTTTAAATTTAATACAATTTGAATCTCTCAATATGAAAGATTGCTTATTTCAGTGTCATTTATAAACCTTAAACAGAAACATGTGGCTTAGTGGTGTGAAATGCATCCCATCCCCCAAACATATATAAGAATATACTTTTTATTAACATTTTTTATTTGATTTTATTTGGTGACTTGTTATTTGAGTAGATAATTCTAAATTTTACAATAATCTGTGGTTTATTATCCAACTTGGGTTTTATCTATTAAAATGAGCACTAGTAAAATAGATATAATCTATATGTTAAAACTTTATCTCAAATATGCAATATCATATTCTCATTAAAGAAAAATATTGAAGTTAATATACTTCATTGGTCTCAACGTAAATTTTTAAAAATATAATATATATTATATATATATACACCATTCAAAAAGAGAAAAGGGAATTTATTTAAAAGACAATTTAAAATGGCCATAATTCCGCCATCATACAGATCAGTCAGTGTTTAAAATGATGGTAGTAGCACAGTGGACAGTCTTGGATTATCATGTAGAATATACCTATGAATCAGGAAAGAGATTAGAATATTTAATAATGTATGTATAGCTGGTGGTTAGTTTGTTTAAATCCAAATTTAATTACCTTATTGGATATTTGATATTTGGTTATTTAATCACAGTCATCTTTAACAGCTACATTGATTGGTGTTTTATCCCCTGTAATCCTTTGATGGCTTTTTCTTGCCTACCATTTCACAGAGGTTCAGACAGCAGTAGTAGTTCCCTAGGAGAGTTTATTGATGAAACAGCGTCTGCAAGATTTTAAAAGTTTCGTTCTTTTCTAGACTTATTTAAAAAAAACAAATGATTAATAAAAGAAAATATACATTTGTTGGTAACTGATTTTAATTATTTTTAAAAACTTGGACCTTTCTGGAAGGGCAGCATATAAAAACATCAGTCTCGAGGAGGGGACAACAATACTACCTCACTACTACACCGGCAATGACTGGTTGTTCAAACACAGTGGAGTGTGTAGCTATATGTTTTATAATTCATAATGATAGCCTCAATCATCAAGAAATACTTTTGATATTTTATTTTCCCTCAAAATAACTAGAGTGCTAAATTTTTAACTGCCTTTTTGTTGAGTCAAACTGTGGGATTCTGATTTGTATTAAGATTGTAAGTTCCTCACTGGTATACTATCATCCTGGAGGGGTGCTGTATGACTGAGGAAGAGTGAGAGAGAGAACGAGAGAGAGAGAGTGTGTGTGTGTGTGTGTGTGAGAGAGAGAGAGAGAGTGTGTGTGAGAGAGAGAGAGAGTGTGTGTGTGTGTGTGAGGAGAGAGAGATGCTAACCTTGTAGCATATGAAGAATGTCTGTACCCTGATATGATAGTTACGTAATCAGTATATTTGGTTTCTAGATCACTGTGCTTCTTTTTTTTCAATCTCTAATTAAAGATGCTTAAATTTGGTTTGCTAATTCTATTTTAGAAATTATAATTTTAGTTCATATTAATTTCATTTATATCTTACTGAAGAAATCTTTCCAATTGGGAGGAGGTTCTAATATTCACATGTTCTAATACACTGTTTATTGTAAAACAGCTAAATTTGGAGATATGTAAAGCCTTGTTTTCTCTGTGTGGTTCAGCTACTTTCCATTTGGTATTACACACTCAAATTTACATTTATCTATTAAAATTGCCATTTTATTAAACCTTTTTATGCACAGTAGATTCAACTTGTGTCTGAAAATGTCTCTTGTGCTTTTTTGATTTTGCTCCCTTTAAAAGGATTAATCTGGACAGACATGATGAAAAGGAAAGGTTGCGTTTAACATATTTTTTGAACGTTGTAGGACAAAACATAGCTGATTAACCTTGAAGTGACTGTTGTACCATGTTTGCGCACATGCTTCAGAATCCTATGGAAGAGAATGTTCCTACTTGCAGTACATCAAAGGAATGGATGGTGGACCGTACTATTCATGTTTTGAAACATAAATGTTCACTTTAAAGCAATTGCCATAACAGATAAAAACCTGAACTTTCATTGGATTTTTGTTAATTTTCCTCATTTTGAATTATGTGCACTACCATAGCTATATCAGTTTGATACAGTATTGAAAAATTATCAGTTATATTTTGCTGCTTATGATCTATTTGGAGATTAGGATTAAAATGGACTTAATCCATTTTTAAGGCTGAGTGAATTTTTCTAAACAAGAACCATTTGCAATATGGATTTTCATAAAGATCAAACCAATTACAACTTATCATTAGGAGTCGCAAGCACATATTCATATAGTCCAGGTAAAAATACACTAATGAGTATTTGGTAAATCCCAGTAGGCTTTTACCATTAGCATAATTTTGTGTTGTACAATTAAGTTACAATTATATCTCTAATTTTGGATAATATTCTAATATTCATTGGTTAACAATAAAGTGATGAAAGCTAAAAAATAAAAAGTAAAAAAATAAAAAATTAAAAAAAAACCCTTATGTCCAGAACTTACAGGCTAGCTGGATTGTTTTTAACAAGGTCAAAGTAATCAAAGCAAAAAATATGTAAGACTGATGAGCAAGGTCTGTTTTCTAGGACAGTCTATTTTCTCTAACATACCTTTTTAGTAAGTGTAGTTTACTACTACAAACGTACATACAAGCTGTGAATCCTGAGATGAAGTGTTACATTTCACAACAATGATTTTTAAATTTAGTGAAATATTTCAGAAAACTTCTTGCAGAAAAAATTAATCTAGGAATAAATTTTATGCTAACAAGAATGAGAATATGCATATATCTAATACAAATGGGGTCTTTGCCCCACCTCAGGAATGTTGTAGTCATTGTTACAATTTTTTAATTAATCTGTGACTACCTTTTTGTCACAACAAAGGATAATGTTAGCCCAGAAGATTGCATTTCAAAGCTGCTTATGTCCACTGCTCCTTTTTAGGTTTTTCATTATCTTATTTTGTATGCTGTTTTCTTTTTTGTTTGTTTTTTTTGTTTTGAGACAGAGTCTTACTCTGTCACCTAGGCTGGAGTGCAGTGTCACAATCTTGGCTCACTGAAACCTCTGCTTCCCGGGTTCAAGCGATTCTCCTGCCTCAGCCTCTCGAGTAGCGGGGATTACAGGCGCCCGCCACCTTGCCTGGCTAATTTCTGTATTTTTAGTAGAGACAGGGTTTTGCCATGCTGCCCAGGCTGATCTTGAACTCCTGGCCTCAGGTGATCCACCCGCCTCGACCTCCCAGAGTGCTGAGATTACAGGTGTGAGCCAGCATGCCCGGCCGCATGCTGTGTTTTCAACTAAATTTTAACCCAGGATGTATTAAAGTGTTTGGAACTTATACATTTTGCAGCATCTGGTTGGTACCTTGATAGGGGGAAGCTCAAGAGGAGTGAAAATGGGAGATGGTATGTGTCTGTCTCCCTCCGTGGCCCCTCAAATGAGTGTGAGCCCCTCAGACATTGGGAAAGGCTCCACATGCAGCAGGTGCCTGTGCTTTGGTGAGGTGCTGACCGTCACAGCCATGGCCCTGGAACAAGAGAGGCCAGCAGTAGAGTTCTACCTGAGAGCCTGTTCTGAACAGTCCCTCCGCTCTTTCAAAGTGTTCTCATAAATATCCCTTTGAAGATAATGCTCTGTTACCGCCCCGCTGCTGGGGCTGGAGGACTGCTTGAAGACAGGTCATCCCATGGATCGTCATGGGGGCTGCAGAGGTTATAGGGAGAGGCACAAGCAGAAGGTGAACATGAGAACCCTATTTCTGCTCCACTTAGCTGGAGATGGCCTATGTTTGTCTTTATCTCTCTTTGCAACCTATAAAGCCCTTTCATCTCTAAATCTGATGATCTTCACAGTCAGTTTAGAGAAAGCACTGCAACATGGAAAGAGCCCTGAGCTGAAATTTGTACTATCCGGGTGGCCTTACAAGGAATTAGGTGGCAGGGAGAATGGGGTGGTCCTTTGACCACATGATATGGACACCATTTCTAAGAAGTGATGTTTATTGAACCAAATAGGAACAGTGCCTTACATAGTTCTCATTTCGCTCTCTCAACTTTGCAATGATATCTGAGTTCTATTATCACCATTTTGTAGAACTAGAGATTGAGGCTCACCAAGGTGAGTTAAATTACCCCCAAATCATGGGGGCAAAGCAAGGACTTCATCCCCAGTCGGTGTTGATAGCTCGTGTGCTTATCTCTGGTCAGATTGTCACCTTTTGAATACTCCATTCTTTCCAGCAGGAAAAGGTTCAACATCACCAGGAGTAGGTTATCTATTGTGGAGAGAAATGTGATTTTTCGTTATAACTCAAACATACCCTACTTCTGAAAGATGTTTAAAGCAATAGCCAAAAATAATAGAATGCATAGGACAAAAAAGTAAAATACAAATCTGGTACCACATATGGGAAGGCTGGAATCACAGAAATAATTGTTCTGTAACAGAAAAGTTGTGTTCTATGATTATACATAATATTGAACTTGGAGCTACCAGGTATCCATGACAACATTAGGAAAATAAAATAAATCTAAAAATATTGCTTCTCAGGAGAAAGAGGTTTTTTTTTTTTTCTTGAACAGAGTTTCGCTCTTTTTGCCCAGGCTGGAGTGCAATGGTGCGATCTCAGCTCACTGCAAGTTCTGCCTCGCGGGATCAGCGGTTCTCCTGCCTCAGCCTCCCAAGTAGCTGGGACTACAGGCGCCCACCATCATGCCAGGCTAATTTTTTGTATTTTTAGTAGAGACGGGGTTTCACCGTGTTAGCCAGACTGGTCTCGAACACCTGACCTCAAGTGATCCGCCCACCTTGGCCTCCCAAAGTGCTGGGATTACAGCGTGAGCCACTGCACCAGGCCCGCATGCTTATTTTTTTAAACCAGTGGTACAGGGGTATACAGAATAAAGCATGAAAGGCCCACTTTGTCCTCCTCCATCACTCTCACTCCCCTTTGCACTTCTACCCACAGTTGAAAGAGCTTCTACAGTCTTTGGAGTCACACAGGAGTGAGTTTAAAGTCTAACTCTCCTACTTACTTACTTACCTGGGGAACCTGGAACAAGTTACTTGTCATCTCTTAGCCCTAGTTTTATCATCTAAAAAACTAAAGTTAGCAGTCTTGAACTCCCTCGTTGGTAGTGATCAGCAAAGGCACTTGGCCCAGAGTACAGCAGGTGTTCAGTGAAGAAACTTCTCTTTCCATCCTGTCCTTCTTTCTGATTCTCATTTTCCCACATTGCTCCATCTCCTCCCCAGGATACTATACCTTTCGCATTGACTTTCATGATAAACTCTCTGTGGGTGACACAGAATTCATCAATGATAGAGGTGGTGTGGATGACGACCGAGACGTCCTGGAAGGCTCTTTTAAGGCATGACTCATCCAGAACGTCTCCTTCCAGCACTGTCAGCTTGGTCTTGTTCTGGAGCTTCGTATGAACACGGGTCAGGTCATTGCAAGGATTTCTGGGTCTGGCTAGGAAGTTTTCTGATAAAGGTGATGTGTCATAGGTGTTCAAGGATGGTTAGAGTGGGAGTGTTAGAGTGGAGGGTGTACATTCCATAAAAGGAACAAGTAAACAAAGGCACAGAAATCAGCATGCATAGCGGTTGATTGGGAAAGAGCAAATATGTGTTTGTACCTCACCTCATTCCAGGAAACGAATCTGAACAGTGCATTGTCAAGTGTGCTTGGAATATAAGCATTGCTAGAGCCATGGGAAGCTCACCATATTTCTTAAGGGGAGTAAGGTGATTATAGAGAGTTGGGTATAAGAGGAAAAATATTTTAATTTAATTCTATATGTAACCAGGAATAATGATTTTGGGTCTCTGGCACCATACCAAATAAAACCTATTAATTATATGTAAAAGAAGTAGAAAAACAGACTGGCCACAATGGCTCACCTCTGTAATTCCAGCCAGCACTTTCGGAGGTTGAGGCGGGTGGATCGCTTGAGCCCAGGAAGTTGAGACCAGTCTGGACAATGTGGTGAAACCCTGTCTCTACTAAAAGTACAAAAATTACCCGGGTTATAGTGCCTATAGTCTCAGCTACTTGGGAGGCTGAGGCAGGAGGATGGATGGAGCCCAGGAGGTGAAGGTGGCAGTGAGCCAAGATTATGTCTCTGCACTCCAGCCTGGATAGCAGAGCAAAACACTGTTTCAAGAAAAAAAAAAAAAAAAAAAAAAAGCATAAAAGAGAAACAGAAGCAGAGTTGTGATGCAGGAAGTTAACCTTGGCTTGAGGATATAAAACAGACTGGTATAGGGGATATGAGAAATCCAGGTGATCAAGAGATTAATCAGAATGTCTGTGCCAAGGTTTAGATGAGAGCTGGAAGAAGGGTCCAGCAGTGGAAGCAGAGGAGGGGAGAGATACACAACCAATATTAAATGTCTGTAATCCTTGTGTCTCAGCAATATTTGCAATCTAGCATCTGATATCAGGAAAAAAAGCAATGCTCAGCCTAGAGGAACAGTTCCCCTATAGTGAAAATGCAGGGGGCATAATGGATGGGCAGGGGTCTGTATGAAGATAAAACAGAATCATTTCAGTGTTCTTTCTGTGCCAGGCACTGTGCTAAAGGTTTTGCATGTGCTGACCCATTTGCTGCTCATAACAACCTTATGAGATTGGTAATATTATTAGCCTTATTTCTTACAGATGACGAGACAGAGAGGTTAATCCACTTGTCCAAGGTGCCTCAGTTAGATTATGGCAAAGCTGGATTTGAACCCAGACAGTCTAGTGCAGCTTCTGTGCTCTTAAGCTGTAGTTGTCTAGCAGCTTCTCTAGACCTCCCGCTAGCTCAAGTCATGCCATAAAAGCAACTGTATTTAGTCTACATAAAACACTCGCCAAGTCCACAGTGCCTTGGAGAAGGAGGAAGCTTTTTTTTTTTTTTTTTGAGATGGAGTCACGCTCTGTCACCCAGGCTGGAGTGCAGTGGCGTGATCTTGGCTCACTGCTACCTCCACATCCTGGGTTCAAGTGATTCTCCTGCCTCAGCTTCCTGAGTAGCTGAGATTACAGGGGCATGCCACCACGCCTGGCTAATTTTTGCATTTTTAGTAGAGGCAGGGTTTCTGTCTCTACTAAAGAGACACGTTGGCCAGGCTGGTCTCAAACATCTGGCCTCGTGATCTGCCCGCCTTGGCCTCCCAAAGTGCTGGGATTACAGGCATGAGCCACTGTGTCTGGCCTGTGACCCCTCTTCTAACTCCCTCTTGGGTCTATTTGCACAAGAAGTTGCTCCTTCAAATTCTGCTGTCAATTTATTTCGGTGATAACAGAGACAAATGGTTTTAAAAAAAGCCATATATGTGAAATCTAAATGAGGCATGTCTGGCCTCATACTGCGTCTTACTCTGTCTCTGCTCTGTGCTGTGCACTTGTGTGCACTCTCTCTCTCTCTCACTGATGCTGTCTCTCACTCTGTCTTTCTCATTCTGCCTTTGTGATTCTCCCCCTCATTTGTCTCTCTCTGTCACACACACGCACACACACACTCACACACTCATCTTTTTTTTTTCCATTTCCTTTTATTTTGCCTTCACTAAAGATGCTAAGGATGCTACAAAACAAAACAAAGCCTGGGGAAGTCTAGACAGACAGGGACTCACTGGTGAGGTCTCCAGGTAAATAGTGGTTTTTGTGAATGTTGCACAGCAATTGGCAAGACAAAATGCTTCAGAACAAATGAGTTGTAGACAAGAAAGAGAACTGATGTGGGATTGTTTTTAGATGAGAAGAAAAAAATGCGTGGAGGCTGAGGCGGCTGCCTCTCAAGTTCTGGGTCAGGACCAGAATCCAGTCTCCAGACATCACATCCAGTATCTTTCCCACTATGCCATTTTATACTATTTAATATTTCCTTTGTGATTACTGTGGATGTGGGATTGGCTTTGATTTGACTACAACGTTCCATAACTTGCTAGACAAGGTCCACCTCCCAACATGCATGGAGGTTTTAAGATGGAGCCACTCACCCATGACTCAAGTTTACTTACTGGAAAATTCCTCCCTCAGCTCTGGTCTGAAGGCCTTGTCCAACGCCCTGATCTCCTTCAGCTCCTTCTCCTTCACCAAGAGGCGGACGATCCTCTGACCCAGAAACCCTCTTGCTCCTGTCACAAGGCAGCTCCAGCCCGTCATGGCCAATCCAAAGTAGCAGGAATCACTCGCCAGGAAACAGAAGATGCTGGAGAGCAGATCTGATTCGGGTGACCCAGGAGGGGACTAAGAAGGGTGGTCAAATGCTTATGTATTCACACAGATCCCTTATTTTCTTCCACCCGCTGTTTTGCAAAAATTCCATGTCCCCACCACTGCCAGTGGTAGTTGAAAAAAAAAAATGCAAAAGCTCTAGCCATTTGTTAGATTGTTAAAAGGTGGACAGAGTAATCAGGGTGCTGGTCACCTCATCCCCTGTGGCAGGTCTGAAGCTTTATGCACTGTGGCTTCTGGCCCAGGTCGTATCAGTTTGTACTCTGGCCACACTCTCATTGCTCTCTCCTCCTGCAGGATCCCTTATCTCAGAAGAATACTGACCTTTAGGCTATATCTAGTTCTTCCCAGGAACAGTAGGAGAAATCCAATCTTTTTTTTTTTTTTTTTAACTTGAAACACAAACGCTTTATTTAAAGGAGCATCTCAATTCCGCGTGGCGGGCAAAAAATAAAGGAGCAGATTGTGACACACCAATCCCATCGGCCAAGTGGTGGAACCCAACATCCAAGACCCAGCTAGCAGGCAAGCTCAGTGCAACCTCCGGGCTTCTCGCTCTGACTCCAACAGGGTGAGCACGTCGCCCTCGCGCACGGGGCCTTTTACATTGCGGATGATGGAGCGGCTCGTGTCGTCCATGAATTCCACGCGCACCTGCGTGCACTGTCCCTGAGAGCCGGTCCTGCCCAGGACCTTAGTGACCCTGGCGAGCTTGATAGGCTGCACACGGCTGGTGTCCATGATGGCGGCGCGGCGGCGGTCTGGCGGAGAGAGACGAGAAATCCAATCTTAATGCTGCAGTATGATAAAGAGTGGGTTTAGCCTTAACAGGACACTGGCCAGTTGATACCAGCTGTCTGGGATCTGCAACCTGTGATCTTAATCTAGACTGGGAGAAATCTCCCAGTGAAATGTGAATTTTATTCTTGTACAATAAATACATCTGGAGGGAAATCTACGTTAGCCCATTATCTCCTCTGTCAGAGTATCATTTGAAATGTTGCTGCTATCTTGCAAAATTTAGAAATTTGCAATGGTGACAGCTCCGATCACTAAGCTTCATGGAGATGACTTTCTTTCGAACTCAGTATATCCAAAACTTCAATTGCCATTTTCCCCTGGAGAGCTCTGGGTTCCTAGATGAAGAACATCATTGAAGGAAAGCTCTCTAGTGATAACTACTTAATGATATGGCCTGTACCACAAGAGTAGGGATTTTTAGTTGTATGCCACAATGACTTTTAGAACTTATCCCATATTTTTGCCTGCAAAACAATTCTCAGCAAATTCCTGAACTGAAGATGCTGTAAGTGCTTTTGAAGCCTATGCCCCAGAACTGCCCAAATATCTCCATTATTAAGCTCCCCAAGACACTTTCTTCTATTTTAAAAAATCAAGAGGTAATTTATATGCATTACAATGCCCAGATCTCAAGTGTTCAGTGTCAGTGAACCTTGACAGTCATATATGCCCATTTAAGTACCACCCAAAAGAAGATATGGATCATTTCCTTCACTCCAGAAAGATTTTCTATCTGCTCTCTGTTATCTTTCTGCCCTTCCCTGAATCTACCTCATAGCTCTTGTGCATGGAGTACAGAAAAATTGACCATTGATTGTCTCTGTTGTTTGTTCATTTTCCTATTTCATGATTTTCATGATTTTTTTATTGACTTACATTTATTAACTTTGGGTTTATTTTACTCTTCTTTTTCAGGATTCTTATGATAAAATCATAGATAATTAACTTTACTCCTTTGTTCATTTCCACTACAGACATTTAAAGTTGTAAATTTCTCTGTAAACATTATGTTAGCTGTATCCAACCTTTTAAAGCTGGATTATCATCATTCAGTTAATGATGTTTAAAATATTTCCTTGTGATTTCTTCTTTGACCCAAGTGTTCATCAGAAGCATGTTGCCTGTTTTCTAAAGTTGTGGATTTTCTAGATATCTTATTGTTATGCCTTTATAATTAAATACTATTGTGGCCAGAGCATATACTCTGTATGATTTTGATCTTTGGATATATACTGAGACTTGTTTTATGGTGCAGCATATGGTGTATGTTGGTGAACATACCATAAACACTTAACAGAATGCTTTCTGCAATTGTTGGAAGTAATACTCCAGAAATAATTTGGTCTGAAACCCCACTCTGGGTCTTTACCTCATCCTGTGTTGTAGACTCACCTTCTACTTGGGATCTGACTATCAATGCTTCAAACGCACTTGGCCCTGTGACCCAGGATGCAGCAGCTTGTTCTCTGAAGCTATCAGAACTAGCTGCAGGCCCTGGGTCTTGCTGAGATGTGTGGAGCACTACCCGAAACCACTCAGGCGCATCACGTGCGTGTACCTCCTATAGCAGATGCTGGAGTGCACCTTAAGAATCCCCATTGCCTTCAGGAGAGGGTCACTCATTCCCTCAGCTGTTGAGAGTTCTGGAGTCTGGTAGATTTCAGCCAGCGTCTCTTGGAGTCTCTGAGTGGAACTGATAAGTGTAAGCACTAAAGGAAGCAAGAAATAAAACAAAGAGCAAGACTGATTAGGGGCCAGTAAGGCCACACCGCTAATATTCTTTTGTTTTTAAACAGCTTTACTGAGGTGTAATTGACATATCATAACATTCACCTGTTTTAAGTGTACAGTTCAATTATGTTTAGTAAAATTTTAGACTTGTGTGACCATCATCACAATCTTGTTTTGGAACATTTCTATAATTCCTAAGAAATCCCTCATGCTCATCAATACCACCACTTATTCCCACTCCCCAACTCCAGGCAACACCTAATTGACTTACTGACTCTACAGAGTTGTCTTTTCTGGATGTTATAAAAACAGAATCATACAACCTGTGGTTTTTTTGTATCTGTCTTCTTTCACTTAGCTTAATATGCTTTTGTCGTCTATGTTGTAGCATGTATCAATATTTAATTTTTTTAGGTGCTAAATTCTATTAAATTGTATGGATCACTCCCATTTTTTAATTCTTCCATCAGTTGATAGATATTTGCTGTGTTTCCACTCTATGGACTATTATGGATAAAGCTGCTATAGGTTTTTTCCTTTGGGGTAGACAGCTAGGAGTGAAAGTGCTAGGTCATATGGTAAATGTATCGTCAACATTTTAAGAAACTGCCAAACTGGTTTCCAGCATGGCTGCATAGCCCATCAACAATGCATGAGTATTTCAGTTTTTCCACATCATTGTTATTTCACTTCCTCAATTGTTAGTGTCCTTCATTTTTATTATAGCATTCTAGTAGGTAAGAAGTGGTGTCTCATTGTAGTTTTGATTTGCATTTCAATGATGCTGACCATCTTTTCATGTGCTTTGTTAGCTATACCCGTACCTTTTTGGTTCAGTGGCTATTCAAATATTTCGCCCAATTTAAAATTGGTTTATTTGTCTTTTTGCTATTTAATTGTCAGTGTATTTTATATTTTGGATGCAAATCTTTTAGCAAATGTATGTATGATTCGAATTTTTTTTCTCAGTCTCTGAGTTATATTTCCATTATCTTATTGATGTCTTTAAAAATGCAAACATTTTTAGTTTTGATCATGACTCATATTTCAACTTTTTTCTTCTACCAGGAAACATTGGGATTTTGCCTAACTCAAGTTTCTGAGTATGTTAATCTATGTTTTCTCCTAAGACGTATATAGTTTGGCCTTTAAATTTAGGCCTATAATCCATTTTGAGGAAATTATTGCTTATGTGTTAGTTAATGGCCAAAATCATAGGACCAACTGATTTTCACAAAAGTAAATTCAATGGGGCAAAATGATAGTCTTTTAAACAAGTAACACTGAGACACCTGAATTGTCCACATGCTCAGGGAAGGTCAGCATGCTATGTCAAGTGATGCCCATCTGACTCAACACCTATTGGCATCAGGGTTCACAAAGAATTTCTCAATATGATAATTATGGGTTAAATAATTATGGGTTAAATAATTATGGGTTAAATAATAAGCTGTAGCTCTCTGCTTCTCCCATTCGACAGACAGCCACATTTTCTTGTGCAGCGCCAGCCGCATCCCTGAGACACCACAGTGAAGGTGAAGCCTGGAGTCAATGGGTTTGGCTGTATTGGGTGCCTGGTCTCCAGGGCTGCTTTTAACTCTGTTAAAGTGGATACCGTTGCCATCAACGACCCCTTCATTGACCTAAACTACATGGGCTACATGTTCCAGTATGATTCCACCCATGGCAATTTCTATGGCACCATCAAGTCTGAAAATGGGAAGCTTGTCATGAATACAAATTTCACCACCATCTTCCCAAAGCTAGATCCCACCAAAGTCAAATAGGCTGGTGCTGGCCTTGAGTACATCATAGAGTCTACCGGCATCTTCATCACCATAGAGAAGGCTGTGGTGCACTTGCAGGAGGGATCCAAAAGGGTCGTTATCTCTGCCCATCTGCTGACGCCCCCATATCTGTGATGTGCATGAACCGTGAGAGGTATGACAACAGCCTCAAGATCATCAGCAATGCCACCTGTACCACTAACTGCTTAGCACCCCTGGACAAGGTCATCCATGGCAACTTTGGTGTCGTGGAAGGACTTAAGGCCATGGTCCACATCATCACTGCCACCCAGATAGCCCATCCAGGAAACTGTGCCATGACAGTCACGGGGCTCTGCAGAATGTCATCCCTGCATCTCCTGGCACTGTCAAGGCTATGGGAAATGTCATCCCTGAGCTGAACAGGAGGCTTACTGGCATGGCCTTTCGTGTCCCCACTGCCAACATGGTGGTTGTGGACCTGACCTGCCATGTGTAAATCCTGCCACATATGATGACATCAAGAAAGTGTTGAAGCAGCATCGGAGGGCCCCTTCAAGGGCATCCTGGGCTACACTGAGAACCAGGTTGTCTCCTCTGACTTTAACTGTGACCCCCACTCCTCCATCT